AAAAAAAAAAAAAGAGCATGTAAACTGACAGATTGAATGACCTAATAGTAAGCAAATTTCTTTGCCAAAGCAGTTATTAACTATCTCTTTGCAATTCCTTTTCTAAACGATTGTTCCAGCGTTAGAGAAGAAACACGGCAATTGGTCAAATACCTGCCATTATTCAGGGTTTAACTGGTAATTACTATTGCAGTATTGAGGACTACACCACTGAACTGAAGGTACTTTTCAGTGGCAATAGCTACTGCTAGGAAACGTACCCCTACCCTACCGCTTAAAAGCCAACGCCAGAAGCACTGCACCACTTATCGCAGTTTTCGTAACCTATGTAAGAAAAACTTTGTACTGCGGATGTTTACTTCAATACGATGTTAAAATGATCTGAAAGGATTATCAAGAAATAAACTGTGCAAAAAATCTATTAAAAAAAATAAACATACTGGGTTTGCATTTATAAGATATTTGCAGATATTTGCTTGTTCCAGGACAAGAATCTTCGTCAAAAAAACTTGATTTGACCACAAATCGACAATTACGTCTATTTCGACAATGCTTTTGAATTTTCTACAAAAATAAATTATGGAGAGATAAAAAGCGTATGTATGTTTGAATGTATATGTTGAAGTATGTGTTTATACAGTAGCTGCAAGTTAAAGTTTATTTAGTTACATAAACTTGAAACAAAAAAGTGAAGTTATAACATTGAACTTCTGTATTTATGTGTGTTTCTATTTTTTGTTTGTTTATTTTTCTAATCTGTTCAGCTGACTGCATCTTCATAGTTCACTTAATCAATTCTTGCTAAATTTTCATGACAACCTTAAATAAATTATCAGTTTGCAAAAAAAGCTATCTTGCTGTCACTAAACAATATGCTTTGCACATTTATTGATCCTAGTCTTTTGAGTGCCCAATTTAAAGAAAAATTAAAAGGTCTAAAGTATCCAAAAAAAACAGAATAAATAAATAAAAGAAGAAAGCAACTTTTTTTTTCTTTTTATCTCTTTCCTAAAAGCAAAAAAAGAAAAAAACGAAGATAAAGTAGTGGTGCAGAGTTGGTGGTTTAATCAGCAGAAGGTATATACGTAGCATGGTCAAACACTGTAATTTCCAGCTACCATCTATCATAATCGCTTGTTTTTTGCACCAACTAAGTTTCACTTGAGATGATGAGTTGTTTACACATCAAAAAACAAAGAAGAAAAGAACTTGTCTCTTTTCTTTCTTTTCTTCTGTTTTTTTTTTTTTTTTT